CTCACCAGCCTTGATTCTATCAGGCAACACACAATGGACTTCTGTGCAATGTGATATTCACTTCTCAGAATGCTAAGGATGCTCTGTTACCATGCTGTCCATTGTACAGAGGATGAAATGGACACTCAGAGATTAATTCAATTGCTCGTGATCATTGTACAGTAAGGAGCCCTTTGTGGCACAGTGGTTAAGCACTCAGCTTCTAACCAAGAGGCTGGTGGTTCAAGTCCACCAGCTGTTCTGCAGGAGAAAGATGTGGCAGTTTGCTCCTGTAAAGATTCTAGCCTAGGAGACCCTATGGGGCAGTTCTACTCTGTCCTACAGGGTCACTATGAGTGAGATCATGTAAGTACTTGTAAGTACAGTGTATGAGTCAGATCTGACTTCACAGCTCGTGCAATTAACCACTAGGGTCCTATTTCATTCCTGTGTGGAGCCACCAGGATCATTTCACCCTCTGATGATTACTAAACATCTTTTGAAAAAGTGAAAGAAGACTGCATTTTCTAGAAAATTACTGTGCCAGAAACATGAACTCTCAAGTCATGGAGCTTTGGGCTGACTGTCATGAAATGTCTCTATCAATTGGTGATGGAAGTTCCTGAGCCAGTTAAGTTGCCCCCAGAGAGGCCCCACAGGGCAGCATGGATGGAAACAACCACACCAGAGCCCCCCTTGAAATGCAAGGGTCTGGCCGTACCTGTGCCGTCAGTCCACCCCAGGGCTCTGTACTGCTGCAGGACTCTGCCCACCGCCTTCTTGTTTTTAGCAACCGCCACAGCTCTTGTCAAACCAAACCGCTGTTTGTAGTATCTCATCAAGGAACGATGGCCGACTCTGGCACCTGATTTTCAAGAGCGAGACGGAAACACTGAGTAGGATAGTTTCTCAAGGCAGAGCTCTAAAGCAATAGCTTTCCCAGTCAGAAACGCTGTGCCAGACAAAACGGCGCTCTCCTGCCACCTGCTGAAGAAAGACAAAACAGCAAGTAAAAGGGAGAGGAGGAGGGAGAGGCAAGATTGCCACAGGACAGACAAGTTAAAGTCGGCCACTGTGAAGGGAAAAACGCAGCACACTGACTGCACTTACACATGCTAGGCCTCCCTCAAAATCACAACGCACAATACTAACACAGATCACAGGGGGAGGGCCGGGTCGAATGGGAGAAGATACGGAAAATGCGAATTCCTAAAAAAAGACCATACTTACTGGACTGATAGAGACTAGAAAAACCAACCCCAACACTATCATCCTAAAATGTCATTTGAACTTGGATTTGAAGCTATTTCTGCAGGTCATCTGTCAGCCAATAACAGAAGTATGTAATATGTTTAAGGGAGTAACATGCTCCCTTAAACAAGGAACTATATAAGAACAAATGGTCAACAGTTACCGAAAAGCAATGAGAAGGCAGGAAGGGGAAGGGAAGCTAGATCAACAGAAACAGAACAAGCAGAATGGCAATGATGAGACTGCCGACAGTGTGAAAATGGTACCCAACGCCACAGGAACACCTGTGTGAGAACTGTTAAAGGGACACAGATCTGTTGGGCAAACTGTCCCCTAAAACACAGTCTAAAAAAACAAAACAAAAAAGTCACAGAGAAATAAGGGATTTTAGCCTGTTTTAAATACAAAGAAAATTAAACACAGAGAGTGGTCCTGATGTTGCTGTCTATCCTCCAGTCAGGGACTTGAACAGAGATCAGCCCACCTTTCCTTTGCTTAAATATTCTACTGCAGTAGTTCTCAATCAAGGGCAGTTTTACCCATCCATGCTCAGGGAACATTTGACAATGACTGGAGATATTTTTGCTTGTCACAAATGTAGAAGTGCTACTGGCATC